CCGCGGCGCGCCTGGGCGGTCCCGCCGACCGCATCCTCCGGGGCGAGAAAAACCCCGTTCGTAAGTGCAGATCCGACATAAGTTGGATCCGCGTAACTCGGAGACTGCCTGTATATATAAATGGTCTCAAATATAACATTTTTTTCCTGCTTGGTCTTTACATTGGACTGCTGATCTTCACTGTAATGGGAGAATCTTCCTTAAGATCTTTGGCATTGTGATTCTGCATTAGGCTATCAGCTGATCTCCAGCTCTGCTTCCTCTTCCATGCCCTTTATAACCTTCTGTGAGGGTAATGATGCTGAATCTTGGACAGCATAATCTTCTTAATAAGATTAATGTTAAGAATCTTCTTATTATATAGTTAATTTAAATAAAATGTTTGAAACGAAGACTCAGATTTTTTTTTCTTTGAACAAACTCTTACTCATTTGCTATAATATATTCCATATGAAGTTGGTGGAAATTGAGAATTTCTGTGCCCCGGGAAATTGATATTCATTTTTCATCTCAAATTGGGGCAAAATACTTAACTTTCTATTCTGCAAAATACTTTAACATTTATGAAAAACCTTCTTACAGATTAAAAACATTGAGCAGTCCTGTGGCATCTTAGTAGTAATTCCTTGCACATTCATGAGCTGCCTCCTGATCCCTTCTTAATGCTTCTCATGGATTAGTCAGCAGAATTGGTGTGCGAACAGTACAGCCAATATTACTGCTGTTTCCCTCTGCCACTCCTCCCACAGATAAAATGAGTAAATTCTGTGCCTGTTAGTACAACAGGCCAGGAAGCTTGCCAGTCATTCAGTCTCTGTATTCCCAGGGACAGGCTGACAGTTGTGCTGTACCACTGCTATCCTTTTATAGAGCCTCAATGCTGCTGTGTTTTAAAAGACAATTCTGAGTTCAAATTTCAGCAGTCTATCTGATTAATCTGAAAGATATATAGTTTTTGTATTTATCAACTATTTTGCTTGATTTCCTTTCTTAAAATAACTCATATAGATAGGCAACGAACACCAGTGGCTTGATAGAGTGCCTGCTGCATTATTCTGCCATTAGAAACCATCTGCTTTGGAAGTTCTCTTAACTTTATCTTCTCCCAGCTGGAAAATTGCCATCTATGGTTGCCATGGTAGAAACTCTGTGTTTGACAGGCATATGTCAAGGAAAGAAGCCATGCTGCATTTGCCCTGAAATCCAGTACGACTTTAACATAGCCAGAGCAATTGCACAGCAATGACTTTGTCCCCTACAGTGTATTGACGGCATCCACAATTCATGTCGCCTACTCTCCATCAAACCACACACCCCATGCCATCCAGGAGGAAAGGGAAGCTACATAATCAGTGTGACTAATGGTGGAGTAAAAAGGTAGATTGGAGTAGGTGGTAAATGGGTAACAGTACATCTAAGAGAATTCGGTTGTACTAGTTGTTTCTTGTTTTCAGAGTATAGCGATAGGAACTGAGGCGGAAGATTAAATCCTGGTTCTACTAAAGCTAATGGGACTAGGATTGCACCTAGAAGTGGTTGTGATTGACCTGGAATGACCTGGTGTGCTATGACACTGAGCTCTCTGTAAAGTAGGATCAAGTAAAAGGTTGTGTTGTGTCTGAGATGGACAAGGATACTGCAGGATATTTTGAGGACTAATTGAGGTGGCCTGTGTAAAGTAATGGAGAGTTCCTTGTCAAAGTGTGGATACGTTGGAGCCTTGAGGGATTCATTCTTTTTATGGAGTAACTCAAAGTGAATAATGAGAAAAAATTAACCTAAATTCAATATAAAAACAAACAATTTCAGGAGGCAAGAAGCACTGTTCCTAGAGAACCTAAATGAATTAAATGGATTTATTGGCATAGAGGTGAATGGAAAAAATATTGGAGCTGTTTGAGGTACCGTTCAGTAGCATCTGGAACTTATATAATGTTAACTAAGGAAGCAACTTTTTTGAGGTTGATTAACATAATTTAAAATCTTTAAATATGCTGTCTCTCTATTTAGGTACATGCATAAGTTATATTAATGATTTATTTGAGGAAAAGTCTTCTAAATGTACCTTGGACATAATTATTTCCTAACATTAGCCATTTGTAGAGAAATCAAGAGGTTCCAGAGAACTGAAGGGGATAAACAAATATATTAACTATCTTCAGATAAGGAAGAAAAGATGACTTTAGTAAATATTGTCCATGATTATTTTAAATAGCATTAAAATGTTTGCTTCCGAGCATAAGTTAACTACTCACTGCTTGGCACTAGAAAGAAACCTTTGTTTTGGGCAAGTGCTTCTATGATCATTTGTTATTGGGTTTTCTTAAAATATCTGAACCTGACCTTTGCTTAGAGGCAGGATATACTGGAAAAAATAGATATTCTGATTTGGTAGTTCTCTGTTTGTTCTGCAACCCTACATTCTCAAATCCCAGTAAAATAATGGGTGGAGAAATACAAGAGAGTACTTGTAAGCATCTGAAGGCTAACAAAAATAAGCCTCAGAAAACTATAAAGAATAAATAAGGACCCCCTCCTTTTGATAATGTAAAATTGTAAATGAAGGGAATACAGTAGATTTGATCATTTGATTTCTGGAACAGTAAATCATGATTCAGTTTGGGAAGTGAGATGGGAAAAGAGGGGATATGATCCAAGAATTGACAGACTTCTTTATTGTTAGGAAGAGTATGTAATAAAGCACATTAATTAAATGCATAGATGGTACCAAGTTGGGAGTGCTGTGGATAGAGAAACAACACACAAATCTCGGGACAAATATTGCCAGGAATGATATTATAAAATTCAACCCATCACATCTAGGGGAAGATATTAACACTCGTACCATTCAATGAGAGGGAGATAATGGGAAGATCATAATACCAAAAGAGACCTTGAAGTGCTAGAAAACAGGAAATTAGATGTTTTTGCAAATGCAGTATGATATAATTTATAATATTCTAGCCCAAAGGCGAGCTAGGTTCCTCACAATAAATACACTGCCCCATGCAAGATTATTTACCAGTTCTTAAGATCTGTAGTAAGAAGTCCAACTGCAAGGGCCGAGAAAGTGTCTAGGAAGGAGTTTCAAAGTGAAGGAGTGAGGAAGAGAAGCGGGGAGG